TTCCAATAAACTGTTGTCTAGCACTGTATAAAGATGTTACCTAAAGTATCCTAACTAGACAAGTGTAAATGATGCAGGTGGGGAGATACCAGCTCTCCTCTGACCAGTTTAGCAGTGTGTGACACCTGTCACCATTACATTTCTCCAGTAAGATGTGTGAGCTGATCTGTTCTAACATGTCAATCTTATATCCTCATTGAAATGCTGTGACTGTACTGCCTTGTGGCAGGGTTGTGTTTGAGAGGACCTGCTAAGTATTGGGACAGCAGGAGCTAAGTATAAACTGCAAAAATAGTTGCCAGTATCCCAACTCCATGTCACCCTGGGTCTTAGGCAGCCTCTATTGTTCCCATGTCCCTGTTCCATGGCAGAAATATGTGTCCATAGGAGGGCATATGAACTGGAAGGAAATCAGAGATTGCTACAAACAGGTTCACAGAGTAAATGACTGGGAACAGAAACAAAGAGCTGTGTCATGGACTGCACTTGACCATAGATATAATCAGAGAGACTTGAACTAATGTTTTTGAGGCAATTCTCCAAGACACTGGTTAATAATTTACTCACAACCTGTCTTCATATACCTGTTAAGCTACTCTTCATGCCAGACGTATCTTGTGGTTAGACAAAGCAGAGCTATCCAGTTAGTGTCTTTTGGCAGTACTTGAATTTACTTTAGTTACTACTAAAAGTAGGTTGTTGCTATTTTGTGCCTTCTTTGAAGAGATGAGTGGAAATGAATATTTTTTCTCAAAGTACCATGTGTAGTTTCAGAAAAGGCTCAAGAAAATTACTATTGGATGAAAAGTCTTATAAAATTCATCGTTCTTGAGAACAAAACTGGACCTGAATGCTCTGCAGTCATAAAACTACAGAATCAGCTTTACATGCACAGTAATGTGATGCTGTAAAATTCCAAATCCATTCTGTATTTGGTCCGTCCCACCCAGGTCATTCGCTGTTTATAACAAATCAGGTTATCTGTTAAAAAGCTCCAATGGGAAGACTTGAAATTTTGTTAAGAAAGTGGTGGATTCTTATTCAAGTCAATTTATACAGTCCAAGAACATTTTTCAAAGGGCAAAGCAATATAGCAGGTCTGATGTTGAAAGTGGACTCGTGAACAGTTGCACAGGCATGGGCAGGCTTGTGAGAATATTGCTGCCATGTCAAGTTTTGACAGTGACCATGGTAACTTGTGTTCTTTTCAGCTATGCATCACCTGCCTGATTCATTTCTCTCCATTTGTGATGTGTTTCTCTGTGGTGTGAATCCATCCCTGTCCATTCTGTCACATCTTCATTTTCTCTTGCTGCTGCTGCTGCTTCTTCAGGTTTCTCAGAGCCTCAGGTAAGCAATCACAAGGAGCTTGTGCCCCATGATGTTCAGAAAGTCCTTCTTCATGCAGGTCTTTTCAGTAACTTTCAATTTGGAGCTCCTGCTCCTCCCTTTTACCCCCCCATCCTACATATCATCCTTTAATTCTAGTTGTCGAGTCCTTTCATAATGTTTACAACATATATCTTTACAAGATTCCCATATGCTAAGAAATTGTGACTTTACCACTGGTAAACTAAACCAGGAGTCTGAGTCTGTTCATTTATGTCTCTATGGTTAAGGTTTTACTCTATGAGGATAAAAGAATGCTATTCTCACCTATTCTATGTTCTATATGACATATGAGAAACAAGTAATTTGTAATGCTTTTTCCCAGGTGCTAGATATTAGTTTTGTTTCTGGTTGTCAGTGAGTGTCTGGCTTCAGATTTCTGCCTTACCCATCAGAACATTAGGCCAGCTTTAATGTTGCTATTCAAGAGAATCACTAAAAGATTGCTGTTTTCTTCCAACATTTTGTATAAAATGTGATCAAAAATCTGCAAAAGGATCTTCTGTCAATAATTTATTAAATCAATTCCCAGACTTTAGGAGCATTGGTCCAAAATCTCTCGCTTTCAACTTTTTGATCGAAGCACTATTGGAAACACTATTTAATAATGTTCCATATACCATCTTCAATGGCCTCAGGGCCTGTCTGTTATTTATAGACCACAGACAAGGAACCCTCCCTTATAAATACATGCTGATCTGTTTAAATCATAGAATCATAGAATCAGCCGGGTTGGAAAAGACCTCCAAGATCATCAAGTCCAACCTTACCATAGTTACTAGACCATGGCACTAAGTGGCACAATTAGTCTCATCTTAAAAACCTTCATGCACGGTGAATCCACCACATGGCAGCACATCACATTCTATTATTTTCTCCATGTGTGCCAGCCAGCCATTTTACAATGCCATGTGATCATAACCGTGGGTACAGAAACTCAGAGGTAGTAACCTTGCTACACCAACCTACTACATCATAGAATCATAGAATCAACCAGGTTGGAAAAGACCTCCAAGATCATCAAGTCCAACCTTACCATAGTTACTAGACCATGGCACTAAGTGGCACAATTAGTCTCATCTTAAAAACCTTCATGCACGGTGAATCCACCACCTCCCTGGGCAGCACATTCTAATGCCTGATTAATCACTCCACAAAAACTTTCTTCCTAATATCCAACCTAAACCTCCCCTGGCAGAGCTTAAGTCTGTGCCCTCTTGTCCTCCTGCTGGTTGCCTGGGAGAAGAGACCAACCCCCACCTGACTCCAACCTCCTGTCAGGGACTTGTAGAGGGTGATAAGGTCTCCCCTGAGCCTCCTCTTCTCCAGGCTGAACACCCCCAGCTCCCTCAGCCTCTCCTCATGGCACTTGTGCTCAAATCCCTTCACTAGCCTCATTGCTCTTCTCTGGCCCTGCTCCAGCACCTCAATATCCTTCCTGAACTGAGGGCCCAGAACTGAACATTAAAGCTGTCAGCATCTAAATGTGTGGAAAACATGTTTGTGCTCTGTGAAGTCCCTGATAGGGAACCTTTCAAAGCCAGCTTGTAAACTGTGGGCATTTATATATCCTTAGTTTTACAACCTGCTAGCCATGGGAGGTTTTGGTTGTAAAAATTACAGGAAGAAAGGGGGAAATTAAATGCAAATGAGGAGAACCATTTGCTTCTAGTCACTTTCCATGTCTGTAAAGATGTAGCTTTTGCAGAATTGTAGACTGCTGGGAAGAAAGCTCCTTCCTGAGTCAAAGCTACCCTTTAGGAAACAAATTGCAGTGTCCATTTTTTAACATATTTGAGAGTTTCAGAAGCATTCTTTATTGATCTAACATGGATCCTGCTGGGTGATTTAACACAAACTAAGATACACTCAGTATCATTTATCCCATTAGAGAAAAGTGGTCTTCTGAGCCAGGCACAGGAGGATTGTCTTCTGGAAAATAGTCAGTCCCTCCAAAACTCAGCTGCCTGTTGTTATTTCAGTACTAAATTGTCTGATGCTTGCTAAAGCCATTGAAGTTTGGCCAGGGAAATTTTGTTGGCTTATACCAGTAATGGATTTCTCTCTCCGTATCTGCTTGTTATAAGTGCAAAATAGTGCTTTTCCTAGTTTCGACAAGCCTCCATTAACACTTTCAGTCCCAAGATTCACAAGCAGAACTTAACATGATGAATGCCTGGATTCATGTGCTCATCCTGCCATTTGCACTCACAGTATTTCCAGCCTCACTAGCAAAGGTGAACATGCAATTTGACTCATTCCTGCAGTAACAGTGCCAGATGAAAGCTTCTCCTTTTGGCAGTTAGATGGTTTCTGAAGGAAAGCATTACAGAGGGGTAAAAGGTTGTTTTTAAGTTTGTAATGTGTCTCTTTCTGCCCCTCTAGTGGTTGGACTGAGCAAGACTGTTCTGTGTTTATGAGCCTTGTTTATAGTAGCTCAAGAGGTGAGACAGAGAGATCCTGGTGTCAGCTTTTCATGGAGAGATTGCTCAGGCTGTGTGACTCCATGGCAAGCTTGCAAAGCAATTGATTAAGTCACAAAACCCTCTAGCACTCAGGGAGATTTTCCAATGTATTTGTATTTAAGGTGATGTCTTTGCAACCATTCCAGGAAGCCCCTGTAGTGGCACGAGCAGCCCTGTTTCTCGAGTGTGCACGCTTCGTTCACCGCTGCAATCGTGGCAACTGGCCTGAGTGGATGAAGGGCCACCATGTGAACATCACAAAGAAAGGCCTGTCCCGTGGCCGTTCTCCTATTGTGGGCAACAAAAGGAACCAGAAGCTGCAGTGGAACGCAGCTAAGCTCTTTTATCAGTGGGGAGATGTAAGTATTTGTTTCCCTTCTACTTATTTTTGAAAATATGCCAAAATGTAAAGGTGATTGGATCCTGTACAGAATTTCAGTTCCAGTAAAATGAGGAGTCACAAGCTTCCCTTCCAACATGCACTTCACTGCCTGCCAGGATCAGCTCTTTTCCTAGTGGAAGTGACTTTGTTAGGATGTAACAGTGACCCCTTCCTTCTCCTTTCCATGCTATGTTCCCTCTGAGGATCCATTTGGTCCACTCTCCTGTTTCCAGCTCTTGCCATATGTGAATGCCAAAGGACGAGTAAGAACAGGGGAGGTGATACTATCTTTTTTTCCAGCTTCCAAACATTTTTATCCCAGGACTACTTGAGTTAGATGTGATGCTGTATATTTAGTAATGGATTTCTGCTTGATGTACTCACTCAGTTTCTTTTTACCCATACAGAGTGTTAGCACTCTTTGGCAAGGAATTCTACAGGGCTACTACCCGTCATCTAAAAAACTGTGTCTTTTTGTTTGGAGCTCTATTCCTCCAAGTTTTATTTGACTGTGATCTCTTACCATACAGGAACTAGGCTATTGCTTTATCAGGCCCTGTCAATGGCACTTGCAATTTCTTTGGAAAGAAACCCCCCAGCATATACCTGCTGAAGGTCTGACACTTGCTACAGGTCATTTCAAGCAATTTAAAATAGTGGGTAAAGTTCCTTTGACCTCTGTGGTGCCTGTTATAAATGTCTATCTGGAACTGAGTTTTGTGCTCCTCGTCTCCTTTTGCGAAATCAGAGATTTTTACAGTGAGCATCATGGTCCCTCCTGCCCAAAAAAAAAAAAAAAAAAAAAAGACATAAAATCCAAGGCTCAGGGGAATTTAAAACCCATGTGTTCTGCCTTGCTGTCCTATATTCTCCTAGGTTAAATCAACACATGCCTCTCAGTGGAGCGCATGGTAGGGACCCTTGAGCTAATGCTGACCATAGCAATACATGTCACCACAAAACAGCCCACGGCAAGGAACCTAGCTTGGGTCTTGAGCACTCAAGCTTAGTCTCTTGGCAACTCTCCTCCTTCCATTTCTAAAGCTAACTCCGAAAATGCTTCCTGGGCACCCTACTCTGTGTTATGTCTCAGACACAGGAGATTATCTTAATAGCAGCATAAATACCGAAGTTCCTTGAAAAAGTATGTAGTGTGAATGTATTTGCTTCTGTATTTCATGAGGTCACTACCTTAGCCTGATATCTCTGAGAACTCCTTCCAAGTGGAAAACATAGGATTACATAGTCCTTGCATTTCTGCATATGTTGCAGACAGTCAGGACTATCCATCTCTGTGGACTTCATGTTTCTAGGCATTCCTATTCTTTCAGATTCTGACAAATATGGGAACAAGCAAGCCAGTAACTATTAGAAGCCAGTTAGATTCCCCCTCAGCCGTCATTTTTTGAAACTGGAATAGCCTGACCTGGAAAAAGTCCAGGAAGGTTTTCTTTTCAAAATGTCCAAAGCATTACTGCGTGATCCAAGGTCACAAGAAAGGAGCCAGGGAAATCTGATGACAGGCAACTTGGCATAATTCTCTTCCCCTTAACTCTAATGGCATCATAAGACTTATCTGGATTCAGTCTCCATGCTAAGAGTAGCATGTGTTTGCTGCTGCTGTGGAACACTCCAGAAGGGAAAAGCCTTACTTTTACTTAACTCTAAGGCAAGGTAAGATTTGCAGACTAATCTTTAGAGGGCAAATTTCTTCTCTTTTTACTGCAAGGTACCCTGATGCTCATTAATATTTCTGTTTCCTCTCACTAGAGGCCAGGAGAATATACTTATCCAGAGCATCACTGGCCCCCAAAAACTCATGCAGGACTGACCTGCACCTGGCACGGCTGAGGTGCAGTCCCTTTATGTTGAATACTAGGCAAGCCTGGTCCTCTAGCACTGCTCTTCCTCCCTGAAGCTATTTCAGATGAAATTGGTTGCAATCATGAGCAGCACCCACTAGCCAAGCCTGTAGGACTGGGACTCTGCAAGCACTGCTCCTCAGGCAGCTCCTATGTTGGCTCTGACCACATTCCAACCAGACAGGCTGAACAGTGAGAAGCAGCTTTCTGTGGCTGTAGTACAGGCATCTGCTGTGAACACACTACTGTGTCTGTTAACCAGCTCATCTCACTGCAGGCAGTACTGGTGTGAAGGGCAGAATGGTTGTGCACTCACACAGCTCCCAAGCAGCTCTGGTACCAGGAAGATGGGCTACCTTACCTGGCCGATCTCTGCCTCTGTGCTACCAAATCCTTGTCTACACTACAGCACACCATCCTTGCTGCCTGGTGGCAGCAGTGGTGCTACTCTAGAAGGTTCTTGGACAAAGAGAAAAAATTGTATTAAGATGTCTCTGAATGCACTGAGCCTTTGTTCTGGTGTTTTGTGTGGGGTTTTTTTTTTTACAGTCTTGAAATTTGTGCTAATTATGGATTCTTGCTTGTCTGTGATTGCTCACTAATTATGATATACGGTATTGCTAAAGTTTAGTCAGACCAAGAATGAAGGTAAATTCTTTTTTCTCCCCCATCTCCTTTAATTCAGCCTCCCTAACAGCCATCAGAGAATCACAGTGATAAACCCTTTCCCCATGAGGTGGGACTTGGGCTGCCCATAGCAGTGATAAACCTATGGAATCAAGCAATCTCACTTGTTATGCTGCCTTTTGAAATAAGACAATGGTAAATCTATTCTGATCAGGTTAGTCTGTCACTTCCTTTGATTGCTTCTGTTAAGAGACATTTTCTGTTTGCTAGAACACCAGGCATAATTCATCATATAATATATGTCAGGAATTCAGTGCTCATTAGGTAGGAAGCTGTGGGATTATGTCTTACGGCTTTAATATTAGGGTGGACAACACAGCACAAATAATACATGATAAATTACTGTTTGATGGAGAGGCATGCAGAACATTTGTTCCTTTAAACGCCTGAAACATGAAAGGGGAAAAATTGTGAGAGGTGCGGAGTTTCTTTAGCAATGGGCAGGCTCACAGACAGTTGAGATTGGCAACTATTTGTACCAGCTTGCAAACCACAACAATATCACCTCATTCTCTTTGTGTAGCAGAGTCCACCCTCTTTGTTGCTGGATTTCACAGGAACTACTTAGTAGCAAGGAGGAACAGCTGCAATAAGTGACTATGTATTTCTGTGTCACTTAGCTGACAAAGGAAAATTACAGTGCTGACATGACCATGAGTTCTGACTTGTAGAAGATTCAGAAAACCTGTTTAGCATCTTTCTCTGAAACTATCCCAAAACCAAACAGGCCAAATGGCCAGTGCTGATGAAAACTCTGTCATTAAACACATCTCTTCCCTCACAAAGTGATGATATCACAGGATGAAGTTTTACATACCTACCCGTGTTCTCTTCACTTACCTGCAGCAAAGAAAATCAAGACAATCCTTAAGAGCTCTAAAGTGTCTTAGCAGGAAAGCATTCTTGCTAGCACACCCTTATCTGTAGCTTTGCTGACAGCACCATGGGGGCTGTTTATGTGCTGATAATGATGCTGGCAAACAGACAGAACAAATGAGCAATGTTTTTCTGGAGAACATAAAGGTGCTCCTTGGAAATCTGTCTGTCTGTGTTCTTTATACACCATTACCCATGCACCTTCCCAGCTTTTATAAGCATATTGTCAGCTTATTTTTGGAAAGTGCATCAGGGAGCCTCTCCTTTAAAGATGGAAGCAGGATTTCCCATGGGCATTCAACAGTTTTGTGGAGGAAATAGGGACTGTTAACGGATTCCTAAGTCACAGGATAGTTTCTTAAACATAAGACACATTCTCAGTGGAAAGGCTTAGCAAAAATCTGGAATACATACATTAAGTGAAGAAATAAAAGTGTAAGAAACTAATACAGTTTAATGACCTAATCTCCTTCTGCCTGATATGTGCCAGTTCGGAGGTGTTTTTTGTTATTCTACCAAATCTGCAAAAATTTTTTGTCCTGAAAATTTGACAGTGTTTGCAAATTTTAGTTGAAAAAAAGGGGGACATAAATTATGGTTTAGATAGCAATTAGTCTTCTCTCATCCCTTTCTCCACTTTAGACAGTAAAAACAAAGCCAGAACATTCTGTTCTTTGCAGCCTGCACTTGACTACCAGTGTGTTGGGCTGAAAATCTCATCTCCTTGTGCTTCTCTCTCCCTGTCTGCAGGCAATCGGTGTTCGCCTCAACGAGCTGTGCCACGCTGAGAGCGAGAGCCCTGCCAACCTGCTGGGCCTCATTTATGATGAGGAGACCAAGAGACGCCTGAGAAAGGAGGATGAGGAAGAAGACTTTTTAGATGACAGTAAGGAGACTCCCTTTACTACAAGAACCCCTGCTTGTAAGAACCTCTGCTTTAGGAGCACTTAACTTTTCTTCTCTTTTCATCTTCTTGCCACCCAGCTGTATTTCCCAGTCCCTCACCTTCACCCCGACTTCCTCCCCTGTTCTTTCTGTGCCTGGATGTACAACATGACAGATGGGTAGCAGCACTGAGGGACATTGAAGGAAAAGGAGAGGGAGGGGGTCCAGGCAGTGAATTTATTTCTTGAGTCTTGCTGTCACCTGAGTGCCAAAAGTGGTTTGGGCTCCATTCCTCCCAGTTATATCTGCCAAAATATTTGTGTAAGATCAGCAGCTTTTTTGTTTCTGAACACTGAAGAGTCATCTCCTCACCTGACGTGAATTGGAACAGCTCTGCTAAAGGCTTTTGCATCTTGACTTCAGTATATTTGTCTGGTTTTCAGACAGAAATACAGTGCAGTGGTAGAAAAAAAAGTATCATTAAATATCCATATAACAACAAGATGACTAAACCACACACATTTGTGCCTATGTGTACATAAGGGTGGGAGGGGGTGACAGATCACTGATTCTGAAAGTCTAGATAGGCATGCAAATTATAGCAAAGCCTGTGAACCAAAATAAAGCACCTAAACACACACTGTTGTAGGTGTAGGTGAAGGTGTTAACAAACATTATCTCCTCTCCAGACACCATTTGTATATACGTGTGTGCTGTAATGTAGTGGTTCCCGTGTACATGTGCTGTTGTTCCCCATTGAATGTAGTGTGCCAGCACTGTTTTTCTGTCTTCTGGTTTCTCTTTCTGTCGTTCTGGGTTTGTCCTTCTCACTGCATAAAGGCCAACTCTGGAGTAGAGAGGAGCAGGTGGGAGCAGTCAAATGGCATTTATGGAAAATGAGCTCAAGAGAAAGCCTTGGCCCTAAGCTAGAGAGCATGTGCCACTGTGTGGTGTGCCAGTCCTAGCAGCTACAGCAATGTGGGTGGCTGTTCTGGGTGTTTTACTGGTCCTTTAGGAGATATATCCAAAGCAGGAGGAGGATGCATACAAATTTCTTTCTCCTGCACCATGAATGAACAACTGCGTTCCCATGACTGAGTAGCAGAATAGGCTTTCTTGTTCCTGTTCAACCACTGATATCTGGCACTTGGGGATGTGGAGTTGCTTTAAAAGGGTGCCCTGAGACTAGCAAACAGAGTCCAGGTTATGATTTAGAAAACCATTTAAAAGCTCAAGTGCTCTCCTGA